TATTTTTGGCGAAAAGCCAAGATTGAGCGTTCACATGCTAAAAACTGGTGCTTACACTTGAAAAACAAATGCTATATTTATTTGTCAACAACATGTGGTCAAAACGTCAACAGTAGCATCTTCAAGCGCGGAAGACGGAGAGAGGGGGGGGGGGTGAAGGAGGGGGGAGGTGGTGGAGGAAGGAATAACAATTTTAAAATTGGCGGAAGTTGTTTGTTTTTGCAATTTTTTGAACCGGAAAATTTTAAGAACTTCCTGGAAATTTCGAGTCTGCTTCCTGCCACAGTGGATGCTCTATTTTTTGACAGAACACGTAAAACTCGCAAAATCGCGTGTTTTTGGCAATTTCTTGATTTTTGAAGTTATGTAATTGTTTTATATGTATCGCATAGCAATAGGCAAGGAAAGGCTATAAATAATGATTTCTTTCAAAGATAAAATAAAAATGAAGGGTTGCTTTGACTATCTAACATATAAAGAATCGTTAAAGTAATCAAAAATCTTCCAAAACGGAAAACTGCGGCGGGTCCCGAAGCGAATTCTCTTCCATATGGCACCTTTAGATTACTGGTTCACTAGTACGAATTAAATGTAGAGGGTAGTAGGAATTATTGGCCATACTCTCTAATTCGAAGCGGTTTTCATGTAAAGAAAACATCTCAAACTCCATTTTTTCGAATGCTTTTTTTTTCACAACCAGACCTTAACTGGCGGAAATTGACTTAAACACAGATTCCCTTGGCCTAAACAACATTGAACAGCTTTTCGTTGCTCACTATTGGCATGTTGTGTGGCGTGTGTGTGAATAAATAGCAGAGCCGAACGTAATAGAATTGTCACCCCTCTAAGAGTAGCCTAGAGAGTATAATGGTGTTGTCGAGTCGAAGAGCTATTGAGTTCTGAACCAGACAACCCAAAATTATCCACTTGCACAACAGCATAGCAAACAAGAAATGGCTTGAGGAAAAATTGAACAAAGAAAAAACAAAATAGAAAATGCCAAGAATGACCCTACGGCGGGTACGGTCATTCATCATATAACTTTTGATTCAACTGTTTTGGCGGCTGGAAGGCGGAGCTTTGTGGCCTAATTAAGGCCGCTCGCGCCCGCGAAGCAGTCTGCGTCTCTCCTGCGCGCGTGCTCTCTGATCATTACCTAACCTTAATTAGGTCACCAAGCCCCGCCTTCCAGCCGCCAAGCCAGTTGAATCAAAGGGTAGGTGTGATTTATGCATAACAAATTTCCTCAAAACATTCATGTAATTTTAGAATTCTTTGCTCCCAAATTTTCGTCTTCTTAGACTCAACCCTCAATTATTTTTGATTTCTGCTTTGCTAAAAAAGATTTTGAAAATTCAGGAAAAAATTGGGAAATTCTATTATTATTGAGGTCAAAAGCCATATATACACCATTTTCATTTAAAATTTGATATTTTTCAAAGGATTAGCCTTGACTGCTATTCAAAAAACCTATATATTGAAATTATACTATCCTAGAAAGTTCCTATCGGAAGAGAGGAAAACGAGCACAACTTAAAAGGATGCAAACCGAAGCGGCAGTAATTCAAAGTGTAGTAATAAATTTATATTCTTAGATTTTGCCTATAATTTTCTTACGTACTGTTTACGGAGCAATTCAATTTTTTAAATACCCAATTTTGGCATATCTCTATAGCTACAGCGACTGTCTCAAATGATTTATGATTTTCAAAGCGGTTACAAATCTTTATCTTATCAAATCTTTTAACTAATCTAATAAAAATATGCAGCAAAGAAATTTCTGAGCCTATAATCAACATTTCATGGAGACCAAATGATGGGCGCAAAAAAAATTATTTATTGGTTAATACGAATATTTGCCTCAAATTCAAAACTCGGAGCAAACGAGAGTGGGCTAGGAAGTGCAGTGACGAGCGAAGTCAAAAGAACAGCATTAGATAAAGCATTTACATTCGAAATTGATTTTTTTCGCAACTACATACAGCGCAACTACCCTTTTGAGATTAATTTATGCATAGCTACAGCTTTTTATCATGAGTACGAAAAGCGTTAAAGGTGAGGGGATTGAATTTTGCAGGGAAGAGCGGGGGAGGGGGTGAAAGGGGAAAAAACGAGAATTCGCTGTTACAAATTGCATAATATCCATACTCGTTTCATTCACTCTACTTTGATCAATGGGTGACTGCCCGATATTCTATTAGTAGAACCCAAATATTTTTCTTTTTTCGATTTTGTAAAAAGTCGCAAAATCCAATCGTTGTTGCTTCAGAAGGTGCTTGGTACCTAGCATTCTACCGTAATCATATCACTATAACATTATGATGGCTACCGTATCAACCAATCACAGTTTGCAATCATTCATGGTATTTTTCACCGAAAGGAGTCATGGATACGCATTTTTTGAAAAAAGCCTGCTCCCCCCCCCCCCTTTCTCTTCACAGTTAGCAAGATTTTGTCGTTTTTGATCTACAGTGCAGTAATTTCAAGCTCTTCTTCCTAAACCGAAACTAATTAAGTAAAATCCTTTAGCTGCCACGAACACACCCCAACTTTTAGAAACCATACGACGAATGAGTTGATATCTAGTGAAATCCAAAAAAACATGGTTGAAAAGCAAAAACTTTTTCGCGAAACCCCGTCACTAAACTAGCAAAGATTTCTTTTAGAATTATATGGAAGGTAAAACAATACAATAATTTAGTATAATTATTTTGATATATTGTTGACAATAGAAATTCTAATTTTCAACTCTTAAAGCTGCAAAACGGGCGAACATTCCTTTTCAAAATCAATTGAGTTAAAAAGCATCGTCAGAGAAAACGTTGTTGGAATTTATGCATCAAAATTGAAAAAATACGCAACCTGAAATAGTTATGGAATTTTTTCGCTTTTCGTGGGGGAGGGGAGGGGGGGGAGAGTTGGCGAGTTCGGTGCGGCAAAAAACTTGCTCTCAAAAAATTTAAGCTCTCAAAGCTTAAATAAATAATTCTGTGTGCAAATAATGTGCAAAATGTTTTTTTCATCCGGCAAACATTGGAAAAATCGAATGAAAGTGGTGAAAAGTGCATTCTAACATCATGTGGTTGCGAAATTATAATTTTAGCTAAATCATATGGTAGGCAGAAGTATGCGCTTTAGAAAAAAAGTGCAAAAGCTAAATGATGATGCTGCACAGCGTGTCATTAGGATGATCGATGTTTCAAAATAATCACAGTTTGAGTGAAAATTGGTGGAAAAAATTCTGTTTCACAAACGCTTCTTAAACCTTTTGGCATGCAGCAACACCCTACACATCTTCCACCGTAACCTTACCGTAACATTACCGTAGAGCAGGACTTCCACTGGCTGGACCTATGATTCCAAATTAGACGAGAATCAAACAGAAAAATGTTATTTTATGTTTCTCAACCATATTTTCCGTACACTCTCGGAATCAATGTCAAAACCTGCAATTGCCAAAAATATCAAAAAAAATTCCTGTTCTATACAAACCTTATAAATTTTTCTGTTCGTTAGGACAATGATGCCATTACAATATCACCACTACCTACGGCCGCGCCATCCGTGTTCCTCCGCTTGACCCGCTTCATCCACTTCACTATTGGTCAAATCAGCGAACTGACCAATAGCAAAGCGCATAACCATTTGATCCGCAGCCCTTCCCTATTGGTCAGTCAGTTTACTGATTCGACTAGTAGTGAAGTAGATTGAGGGGCTCAAGCGGATTAAATGGATTAAGTGGCGCGCTTTTATGAAAAAAGATTTTTTTAGCACGTAAGCTTAGAAAATATCAAAGAAAATGCAGAAAAATCAAGGAAAAATTTCATTCTATTTTTATCCGTCTGGATTTCTCCTGCAAAATAACGTATTTCTGCCAACCTCATAAAATCAGAAAAACACAGCAAAAGCAATAAATTTAACGCGAAGAACCTTTATGCGGACAGTGGACACGTGAGCGGAAAGCTGTAATGGTTTCACCTTACACCATGTAAAACATTTGATGGATTATAAGCTCACATGTGATCGGCGCTTTCGAGCAAAATGACCAAAGAAAAAAAATTATCGGAGCGGAAAAGTTTGTCGAGCAGAGAAAGTTCAGTAAACTTTGGTTCAGTCCAACATTTAACAAAATTCTTAGACGCAAGAAATGAGGTGGAAAGATTTTTTACTGGAAAAGGTCACTTTTGGTGCATGTAGTCTTATCGGTTGTTTACATAGATTTTCTTCAAGGCAAAAAACACATTAGGCTTCAAAGCTCACTAAAATTTTCGTTTAAATGTCGAGGAAGGGAAGGAGGGAAATTGCAGTAGAATTTTCGCAAAATGTATTTTCAGTGAGAGGAAAATAATCTCATTACCAAAATCAATTTCTTAATAATCGAGTTCAAGTTTTTGTCCAAATTGTGTCAAAAATTCTAGAAAACTATTCAAGAGCTAGGAGAAATCTAACTGCGAAACAATTTTCAGGATTGTGAACAATGGGCAAATACCAAAATTCCAATAATAAGCAGTCGCTTTTCGAGTAATTAAAAACGCAGACGAGTTTTTTCTGAGCGAAAATTTTCGGGAAAATTTCGGAGGAAGAGGGGATCTAGAAAAGTTCTGAGGGAAATTCGCGCATTACTCACATTGCTTAGCTGAAAGTGCGTATAGGGTAGGGTAAAATAGAACGATCTCGAATCGAAAATAAAAATGAAAAATTTTAATAAAAATTAATCCTCTAGATGTGACTCAGTATATAAGCTCAAGCTGCTGTGTAACGAATACGAATGGAAAACTAGCGCTTAGATTCAGAAAAGAAGGTTACGGAGAAAGTCTAAGAATTTAACATCTCGAAAAATAAATAAATAAATAATTTGAAATTCCAAAATATGTATTTCATTCCGGAATATTTCATTCTTTTTAAGAACAAGTTTTATGAAGGGCAAAATTTATAAGTTCATAACAAGGATCAGAGTTAGGCATGGAGTATAAGAACATTACAAACAGTCATTCACCAACCTGTTTAGTTCTCAATGCTTGTGCTCCGAGCATTTTCGAATAAAAATAGAAGTTTCTCGCAGATTTTCAGAAAAAGTCGAGTTTTGCTTGGATCTCGTGAACACAACTTGACAGCCGCAGAAAACTAAGAAAATGCTCGAGGGCGGACGCGGAGGTGCCAACGGTGGGCGGAGTCGCCGCCGGCGGCGGCTCGCCGGCGGATGGCATGAATCCCCTCCGGGCCTCTCGATCGCCTTTGGAATTTTCAAACAAAAGCCTTAGTGTGAGGTCTAACAATTGTAAGCAATGCACTAAACACGTTGAAAATAGTAAAATTGCAGAAATAAATAAATAGGACACTGCAAAGTGTCGATTTTCCGATATACGCGTGTTGTTATGACGGAAAAAGAAGAAAAAAAAAGAAAAAAAGGAAACGCGAAGGCGCGAAAATGAGCGCAGCTGACTGTGCTAATCGCGTCTTTTAGTCGAATAGAAAAAGTTTCGAGGCATATTCGAAGCACTTGGAGATAACAAGACTTTTTTATTCCTAGAAACAATTTTTTTTATTTTCATAATTTACACTGAGAAAGCGTGCCAAAATAGAAAAAAACTGAAAGGAACAAATTAGAATAGAGCTTATACAATTATTTTTTATTTCCTCTTTTTTAATTCATTGTTTTTACAATGCCCAAGTAAAGCAGTAAAAATTTTTTATCCAGGAGTTACGTCGTGGTGTGCTAGCTAAAAAAAATTGAACGGGACAAAATGATATAATGCTAGTCTTTTTCCTTTGCAGTTTACTTCTATCTTAAGTCGTAATCAAGTTGTGAAAAATAAGGTCAGTTTTCTTGGCTCTACTGGTAAGGAATGATTAGTATTAGAAAACAAAAAAAAGGAAAAAACAGGAAAAATCAGAAAAAAGGAAAAAAAATATATCTTATTGAAAAAAATGCATGTTGGAAGAGAAGAGCTGAAGCAAAGCACGAAATCAATGAATCAAAGGTTCCTAGCGTTACTTTTGCTTATGGAAATCATTAATGTGTAAAGGAATCAAATTTTTTTGTATTTTTCTGACTCATCAGGCCTGATTGCTAGGCCTGTGAAACCAAATTAATTAGATTTCCGATTCTCATAAAATAGCCCTTGATTACAATGACGCAAACCAAAGCTTTCGCTTATTGGATCCAAGAACCAAACAACTATCATGCCAATAATATGCGGTTTAATTATCCAAAAGTACACGATAAAGCTGAGCAATCAAAAATTTATAGCTAAACAGTGATAGAGGTGGTTTTATTGAACTCAATTGAGCTCATAATCCCTGGAAAATCAAAATTTTAAATAATTAACGTATGATTTCTGGACATTGGGCTACAATACTCAAAAACAAACAATAAAAGCTCTATGGCTATAATATCTCGTCAACCAGTTGGATTTTTTTTCGATTCCTCAGCTTCAGAATTGACTCTTACAACCGATTTAGCCAATAAAATGCTTTTCTCTAATCTTCTAGAACCTTGAAGAACAGTTTCGCAAATGCTGAATGGTATTTGCGATGATATTTTGAGCAAAAATCTGCCTGGTTTCACCATCGTTTGATTTTTAGTTGTAACATCCATCATAATTTATAAGCATGCCTTGTCTGTTACTAGCATTCAAAGGACAAATCGAAAAGTCTCCAAAAGGTGTCGTTTCTTGCAGAAATAAATTTGCAACAAATGTCGAAAATCATCTCTTTAGAGATTTTCGTTTTTAGCTCGTAATTTCCCAAATAAATCATTGAAAAAGCTTTCCCATGGGTAGAACAGCACTATTCAGTTTTTCTCCAGCCAAGATCAACTCATTTCTCATGCTTGCCTGCCCGGACCTCAACCATGGAAAAGACATTAATTATGAGATGCATGTGGATAATATCACACAGCTAAGTTTTTCTGGGTGGTCTGTTTTGCTGGACATTTGTTATGTGGGGCACTAAAAGCTGGTGGAACAAAAGTTTCACTGAAAATCTGTGGATCAAGACTTAGAAGTTTCTAGTCTTTGGGGAGGAAGGAGGGTGGATGGCATTATGAGGTTAAATTGGGAAAGTATCAGTTTTCAAGTTATATCAGAAGAAAAATGCTTCTCTTGAACTAGCGGGGGCTGAGAAAGAGGAAGTTTGTGAAATTTTGAAAAGAGAAGGCTTCTAAACTTGTGGAACTCTTGATAACATTTTCATATAACTGACAAGGAATGTTCGCTTAGTCGAAGTGGCGATTCGGAAGACGATGTACACCAATGGATAGAGCTTAAAACGCTGATCTCAGATATGCCTTCTATATCTGCGATGCATTGTTCTGAAAAAAGTTATGAGCTTTTCTAATGCCAAATTTTCGTGCATTTTGAGTCGCAAAATTTTGATAATTTCTACACAAAAGTGTGGAAGCTTAAGTGGACCACCTAGAAAGCATTATAAGTCTAATTCGAATTCATCCGAACGTTCGAGTGTTTTCCGAGCTGCTGTTTATCCACAGATCGTCATTTCCTTTCTAGATCACACTTCCATTATATATGCAAAAAAGCCCATAACTCCAGCTAGAAAAATGTGTCGCAGATAATGAATGTATATCTGAGTTCAGCGTTTTAAGCTCTATCCACTGGTGTACGTCTCCTTTCGAATCGCCACTTCGACCCAGCGAACTTCCCTTGTGAGATCCTTGATAGTCCAGTCTAGTCCTTGAAATTTAAGTTAACTCTGAAAAGAATTTCTAACCGTGGCTGCCATTTCAAAAATTTGAGGGCCTCGGAAACTTCTCAAGCGTTTTCTTCCCCTCCTCCTCCCCTTCCTACCTCGTGACAGTTTCTGGAAACGTCATCAATTTGGAGCAATGCTTTATTCAAAAACTTCTGCTGCATGAAAAATTCTGCCAAATTTTACATAAATCATTTTCATTCAAATTTTGCCAAAAAAATCTAAACCACTCTAACACGCTGACCCATTTGAGACTGATTTTAATCTTCTAGCGCGGCCAAGCTAGCCAAGAATAGTTCATATAGTAGTCTTCCTTAAACTAAAGGAATTTATGAAAGTCAATGAGTATGCGAGTATGCGAATATAAATAGAAGTCCTGGCAAAAAAGGGCATCTATGATGTTGCCATGAACGGGTAAAAAAAACCCATGCGAATGTTTGAAAACAGATAGCCAGGATTAGTAAGAAATCCAATACGTTTGGCATTTTTCAAAAAGAAGAAAAACCAAATGCAACACGATCTTGATCTGTCGCTGGGAAAATTGAGGTCTTGTTTGATAAGACTCTGATCCATGTAACCTTGAACCATAAACAGTTTTTCAGAGTTTTTACCCAGAATTTTTATTGCGAAACAACTTTTCCAGCAAGCTAGATATCAATTGAAATGTTGCATATCTCCTATGTTAGTAGTAAATCATAGTTCGAAACTCGAATCCAATATGCTGTCGATCAGTGATAGCTTTAAGATTTTTTTTAATTCTCATTTATGTGGAAACATGTTTTTAAATGCTTGCTGTTTCCCTTTTATCTTCTAATTTTGCTGCCACAACTTCGCCACAAGTAAGAACACATGCTTGACATTCCTCATGGAAATTAAGATCTATTGTAATCTTTATTTTATGTTATCTTTGTCGTAGCCCTCTGGGGCCTTAGCGCCATCAAAAGTCATACGTTTGTAGCTTTGGCAACTTATCCTTGAAAAACTTTCTCTTCCTTGCAAAGCGTGGGTTACGGTAGCTACAGTATACGCGTTCCGAATAAGTCACAGTATTTCACAGAAAAGGCTTCAGACCATGTATTCCTCACATTATCAATAATTAAAAAAAAGGAATGTAGAATAGCATAGGAATGTCTACTGTCTAACGTTTTGTAAACTATATGCAACTGCACACAACGTGCAACTTAGGCGTCAATCCGAGAATTTTGATAGCTATCCATAGATCGCTTTTTTTCTATTGAATGTTCACTTTGGTGCCTGAAAGATTGAAAAGGAATGAAACTAGAAAAGCAGATTATTCGTCCCTATCCAAGGTCCTGGATTTTGCGCGTAATGTGCATGTTGCGTGCAATTGCACCTATAATGAGTCTTCAAGTAACTTTCCTATTCGTAGATTTTCAAGTGTCAAGGGCGGAGCGTAGAGTTTATATAATCTTATACTTTCGAATAGACTTTGAAATTCTTAATCGATTTTTCTACTATTCCATACTAGTACTAGAGTTGTACTTGGGCATAGGTGAATTCAAGCGAAGTTCCCAAATCTTTAAAATTTATTTACAACTAAAAAGATACTGGAGCAACTCAATTTTGAAGTAAGCGATGCCTGCAATCAAGAGCAGTGCTTTCAATTTTTTATTTTTTTCATTTTGAAAAATTTCTGTCATTTCTGTATGCTACTGAAGTACACCTCTTCTCAGCAGTTTGTTTATTCGATTCTTTGCACTTAACAAGCCGCAAACTGATACCTTAGGGATATGGGTTTGGAGTGACAAAGTAGAGCGTAACTTTGATGACAAAAGATAGCTTTGTGTGTGGGTGTTCGGTTCATTGGAAGTCATAACAATGGCAATAATGGTCAACACCGAAAAAGGGCACTACTTCAGTTTGGAGCGGGTGAGGAAGGTGGAAGGAGTAGGGGGAGGGGGCATGAGTTTGACATAGATAAGAACTTGTGCTCAGTTGATTACAAGAAACAAAAGTTAGCACTTTTTCCTTTTTGAGACTCCGAGGAATATTTAGCAATCTTTTGTTTAAGTCAAGGAACTAAACTTATGGAAACGAAAGGCAAAGGAAGCCGGGGGGGGGGGAGGAAGAATTGTTTTTCCTGGCAATATTTTCTCCAGAGGCGAAAACGATTTTATAAAATCTATTTTATGCAAGTAATACTGTCAGCTGTGCGACAGAACGTACACACGGCAGCACTGTCTGCGCATCTCCTATTGACGTACTCTCTCTTCTCTCTCTCTCTCTCTCTCTCTGCGACTCAAAGGCATTTCGTAACTGCGCCGCTGCAAGGGACGCGTTTTGTGCAGTGTATGCGTCAGGTGGCAACACATTTTCCGATTGATGTCCGTGTCCGGATTGCATCTCAATATGATCCCAAATTATTACCTCCAATTGCTTCTAATATTTTCGCAGATTGTAGAAATAATTAAAAATAGAATTCTATATATTTCAGAATGATACGCTGGTTTATCATCAAGAAGAAAATTCATGAGCGAGTATTTCATTTTCAAAATTGAGCATCTTCTGAGGTAGTCGTTCATGAACCTTTCTATTTTTGTACCTCATCTTCAGTTCTCCTAAAAACTTTCGTTCCAAAATGGGCGTATTCTGCAAATCTGCTTTTTCTCTGCTTCATCGCCATTTTTAGTTTCTGTAACGAGAATTATTTTTAGCGTGCAAATCCATTAACGGTTTACCGATGCAAATGAACCACTTAAAGCACTTAAGAAGGCGGCAGCCATGCAAATCGGCATCAGCTGCAGCAGCTTTGCAAAGATTCTCTGTTGTAAGGGAAGATACCCTCTTCAGGCGAGCAACAAGGACGAACAAACAGATTTATTAAAGAACAAAAAAAACGAGAAAAACACACGGCGCCACCTTCCGTGGCGTCGGAACACAATAACAATGAAAAAGAGATCTGGCCTGCGGCCTGCTGCCGTTCGATAAGCGCGCCTTCGATCGCCTCTGATCTACATCGGCCTTCTCTTTAGTGGCCATGGGCCTGACATGCCCTCCCCGCTTGGAGACATCGTCCTCGATGTCCTGATACGTGGTCTGTAGACGTCCAGTTCGGGCAGATGAGCATCCACTGCTCGCCTTCTGACACATTCGTAGATATACTTATTCATGGCGGTTCCCACATAACTATTGAAGAACTGCGCGCCTCCTTCCGGGGCTCCTGCCTCTATAAACAGCTTCCCTTTCATTCCAAAGTTGCTCGCGGTTGTGAAGACTTGCCTCCCCTTGTCGCACTGTATCAGCGTTTCATCAAAAGTCTTCCATAGTCCCGATAGTTCACGCCACAAATCATGATTCTTCGACGTTATCGGTGGCCATGCAGTAACTATTTTTCCGCCCTCCTCAAGGTATTCCTTCGCCGCTACCATCATCTTCTGCGGAACATCATCGGCTGGATTACTATCCAATGGCCACACTATCACCCAGGCTTTGTATGAGCGCCATTCTTCTAGCACGTCAAGCAGTCTAGCGAACGTCGTTGCTACTTTTGTTGCCACTCTTCCTCGAGTGCCATCTCTTTCCATGGGGCTTCCTCCCTCGAAAGTGGCGTATCCAACTGGTCCAGACTTGGTGGGTAGCTCCTTCGTGGCCTGTCCCTCAATCTCTCGACGGAATGCTTGTAATGCTTCATTGTAAGATCTCTCAATAGAATGCCCTTCGATCTTGGCGTGTTTCGTAATTGCGTCCGTGTTGCAAAGAAAGTCTGTCCAGTCGATGCAGGTGTCGTAAGCGAGCTTCAAGACAGCTTTCAGGGCGTCTGCGTCAAAACATATGTGTCCCTCTCGATGAAACTTGATTTTCGTCCCCATATCGATATCCCTTCGGCTGAAGATACTGCAAGCGAGCCAAGCGGACCATAGGTTTTCTATGCGTTCTTTTGCCACTGCGCCCGGAAAGTTAATTCCTTCAATATCTCCGAGTTTTCTGTCCTTGAAACAGTCGTCTCCGCATTTGAAGAGCAGATGTCCCTTTTCGAGTGGGCTCAACAGCGACACACCTCTGAAATCATTAACTTTGACTTTGCATACCTTACTCAATAAAACTTTTCTTTTTCTACCCCTTTTCCCTCTCATTGTTTGGGTGTCAACTCTGTCATTAGGTATGTAGCCTGGAACTATTTTTAGCTTATCGAACTGTATCCTTATAGGATCCGTATTCTCCCCTATGCGCGTGATTAGAGCTGAATTATCGCTAGTATCCAAAACTCTAAATGGGCCAGCCCAGTCCGAAATAAGTTTTGGGTGGGTGCTTTTGCCTTTTTCCCTTGGTGCCAGGGCCTCCCGATCCCCTACTTTAGGATGCCGACCTGGGTTCACCTTGTTCTTGTTGTCATAGCTTCTTTTCATGTTTCCTCTAACTCTGTCATTGTATCCTTCTACCCTTTCCCGTATGATTGGTTCTCCTATCCGTTTAATACCCCTCTCTGTGCTTTCATTCATGCCGACTTTGCAGCTTCGTATCTGATTGATGATCTCAGACACATTGTTTCCATACGAAGGTTGCGCGGTTTCCCCACTGTCCTGCTTTCGTGGGCAGTCCCTTGCAAAATGCCCCATTTGGAGGCAGTTGAAGCATCTGGGTTCCGTCCTCTGTTTCGAGGTTCCTGCATACGCGTGTCTCTCTTCCTCGATTTGCATTCCCCTGCCTTGTTCTGTGTACTGGAAGTACGGGCTGATTTCTTCTCTGTCTCTTGCCATGTCATATCTTGCTGCTCTATGTACTTGTGGCTCTTTCCAGCCTTCCGTCTTGTTGAGAACGGTGCGCGGCTTCCCTTCCCAGATCTCTTTTGCTCTCTGTATAGTGATCGCCAGTTGCTTCACTTCGCTGTATGCTTCGCTAGGCGGTACCCTATGTAACGCTGCTATCAACTGAACGTATTCGGGCCAATCCCTTAAGTTATCCAGAAGGATCTCGGCGTACTCCACCGAGTTTTCTTCCAAGGCTCTGTCTGGATGAGCCGATCTCCCTATCTTCTCCAAGGCAACGCAGAATTCCGCGACATCTTGGTGTGGTCTGATCCTGAGGGATCTTAGCTCAGCCATGGCCCTCATCCTGTTAGCTACCGAATCCCCTGCTAGCAATTTCCCCAATTCTTCGATCACTTCATCAAACCCTTTACTTCTTATTGTGGGTGCTAATGTTCTCATTACATTCTTTGCCTGCCCACCCAAGTGATTATCACTTAGTATATCTACAAGGGTGTCCGTGTCTGTGATTACTTTAGCATACTTTCTTTTGAATTTTCTCACAAATTCCCCGAAATTTTCGTTGGGCTTCCCATAAAAAACACCCGGGTCCGGACAAGAGAGGGATTGAACATAATCTAGAAATCGCAAATCGTCTTGCTGACCTTTGGGTTCCACGTCCCTGTCCTTTGAATGCAAACGCGGTGATCCCGACGCAGAGCTGTTCAAGCTTTGTTCGAACAGCACTCCAGTCCGCCTTGGATTGCACTGCCGGGGCTGCAAAGCATCTTTTTGATAAGCATTCTTCTCTATGTTTCCTGCAGTTTGCATTGACTCACCATGTTTGGCTTTTTCCACTTCACCTCCCTTCTTTTTGAGGTCTTGGATGGCTGCCGGCATCTGAAGCACATCAGTATTTAGCATATTACATGCTTGTTCCAGAATCTCCCTGTTTCTCTCAGCCACCCTTACAAACTCTCTCCAGTCCTCTACTGATTGTATGCCTAATGTTTTCATGGTTTCGGCCATCTCGCCCCGTTCATCCTCTATACTACGACATTGTTCTGCCGTTTCATTGAGTTCCTCACTCAATTTTCTCACTTTCTCACTTATGAACATTTCGTATTTTTCTTTGTACCTGGCTGAAATTTTGTGCTCTGTCATCTCATTTGCTATCTCCCCAGGTACCCTTTCTAAATCCTTTCTTATTCTCTCAATCCTCCTCTCTATGCTATCTCTTGCATAGAAACTCACATTCTCAGCGTCCATGTGCTCGTCCACCGCTTGAGCTTCTTTGCTCGGCTCCATTCGCTTTCTGCAAAAACTGCTTTAGTTGTGTTTTCCCTTACAAAACACGACGAATTCGCGTTCGCCCTTACGTGTGGCGAAAACAAAACAACGATAAGTTCCACGTTCGCCCTTACGTGCGGCGAAAAAGCTCAATTTGCAGAAAGCGGCTCGGCCCCCATGTAAGGGAAGATACCCTCTTCAGGCGAGCAACAAGGACGAACAAACAGATTTATTAAAGAACAAAAAAAACGAGAAAAACACACGGCGCCACCTTCCGTGGCGTCGGAACACAATAACAATGAAAAAGAGATCTGGCCTGCGGCCTGCTGCCGTTCGATAAGCGCGCCTTCGATCGCCTCTGATCTACATCGGCCTTCTCTTTAGTGGCCATGGGCCTGACACTGTAAATATCTTGCATCGAACTTTTATCCGTGAAATCACATGATGACTTCATGCAAGTAAAAAACTTTTCATTTTGTGAAGTGTGAGTTAAGAGTAGTTGGGAAGTGGAGAGAGGGGGAAGGGTCACGGTTGGCTAACTTCGGAGGTTATTATTGTTTTTGATGGATTTTTCTACGTTAATCAGGTTTTTCAGGATAATTTGGCTTTGAATTAGAAATATAATGAGGTTTTCTAAGATTTATTATGCCTCCATTTAAGAAAAAACAAAAATATCGAAGTTATCGCAGCAAGATATGAGTTGTATGTAAATAAAGCCCTAGAAACAGATACAGCACCATAAAAAACAGAAACCGCATGTCCAAATCTATTAAAATTATCTTCCATAAACTTTTTCCCTATTGAAAAAAAAACTTTTTATATTTGCGTCAAGAAACATTTTAACCTAATTTACTGAAATTTACAAACAACAACAACAACAACTTAACATCTTCCTTCGTTACTGAGGAGTTCCGGGAAAGACTTAGAAATCAAGACAAGCTCCGTCTGGGGAAGTAACGAAACTGATTGAGAAGTAAAACATATGATTTTCTATCTTATTACAAAACGCAACGACATCGTAGAGCTAATTTCTTCGATATTCGTATTTTATTACTTCACATTTATATTTCAAAATTCCCCTCCTGTCAGCTCTCAATTTCAAAAACTATTCCTTTCTAAAAATTTATTTTTTTATCCCGAAAAATCTCAAAAGTTTGGTAGGGATTGATGCATAT